TTTGTTTAAGTCCCACATATTTTTGGTAATAATATAAGTACTTAATATGTGAAATCTTACATTCAAGAAAGTTCGCTTTTGCTGTCATTTGGGACATGTTTTAGAAACTTTGTAAGTTTTAATCGTCATGATGGATTATTCACTACATGTATCTCAATATGAAAAGGCTTGAGAGATGAATGTATAATTATGTATATGTATCATAATTCCTTATCGGGGAAGCAATTCAAGAAATTATCCCTCAAACACATCATTCAGTCTCACGATCTTCGCAGGACGCTAGTGATGATCAAGGCTGTTGTGTCACAAATTTGCATGACTCTGGAATTAGAATTTCAAGCCACTCTACAAAAAGATTTTGAAGAGGGGGCATCAGAGTTAAAGACGTACATGTACGAAAGGGGCAAAAACTACGTACTACCCCCGAATCTTTAATTACTAGGGCGTAATGAAATGGAAATAATTTAAATGCATGGAATCAGTGTCTAGTTTGTTGGGCACGTCATTTCCTTTGCAGAGGTTGTTATATATTACGAAATAAAATTTGGATAACAGATTTATCATAAGAATATCTAAGTTCTTTTTGGGTTAGACCAAGCTATTTTTGACAAAGTTATGTCCTTTGGACTTAGAAAAATTCCAATTGTTTGGTGGTGGGGTGGTAAGTGTTTTATAAACACCTCTTGTTTAATAGCATAAATTGATGAAAAAGGCATAATTACATGTAAACACGTAAATATTAAACTTAGGTAACAGCTTCAATTCCCCCAGGCATTGAGTTATACCATCAATTTATTTTATCAACTGCTTATACAATATGTTTAACAGTTTACATAGTTTTGAGGAAATTTTTAAGTCCGTCGGACGGTATGTACAATGATGCCCGGTGTCAAGGATGACAACCCCCTTCGAACGTAAAAGATCGTCTCTCTGTAGTTCAAAAAAGAGTAGGCTCACTGGGGACCACCAGAGAAACCAAAATCTTTCAAAAACCGATTATTTAAACTGATAGTCCGCCGAAACTTTCTTGCAGACACAAATCTTAAACATCACAGTTTCGCAGTCTCTCAGTCATGACTCGATTGTTTCTCCAGTTTCTCTATGGATGGAGATCTGTAGCGTTATGGTTTTATATATTTGTCTATAACGCTACAGATCTGCAGCTACGGCTACATAGAGCTTAATTCTAAAATCTCCTCAAGATCAGCATCAGCTTCTTCGATGTCTTTTGTTGTCTAAAGTGACAGAGATTTCTGAGCAGATCTAGAGATCAATTCCTGCACCAGCTGTGAACTAAGCCAATCATCAGTGGGAAAGGTTCTTATTTCATTCGCATCCCTGGCACATCGTAGTAGCTTGAAAGCATCAGTTGGAGTGCACTTTTGCCCTGTTCTCCTACCCTTCTTGTACAAATTTAACGGCGACAAGAAAACACTAAAGTCTTACAAAAGTCGAAACCTTTATATTGGTCGGAAAACAAGGATACAACGTGCACACAAAACTAATACCCAAAAAGACAGTTCGTACACAGTTTCACATTTAAGAAATATCGTTCTTAATCCAATCGACTTAAAACACAATGTAACATAATGGCGCAGGAACTCTTATAAGGTTTTGCCAAAGGTCAAGATGTTCCAAGATTTATTTTTAAAATAGTTCCAAAACTTTTTACAGTTTATAAATATATCATAGAATATTTACATTTCCAATGTCTTTGTCCGAGATAAAATTACCAATTGTAAATGTAATTGATTTCCTCATGAATGTTTTGGCGCGGTTCCAAAAAAAAAACCACGTGCAAGGCGGGACAACACCTAGAGAGAAACAGGCTTGGAGCCCGTGGATTGGCGGAATCAAAGCATGTAAATATAAGGAATAACTGTCAGATTTTTCGAATTCATGAAGATGATCAATGGATTGGCTTGTGTGATAATTTTATGCATAAACGCCTTCGGCGTTTATGCAAATTATCACACAAGCCAATCCATTGATCACTTCATGAATTGGAAAAATAAGACAGTTATTCCTTAATTAGCATATAGAAAGTATCACTTGAAAACAGATATTTAAAGAAAGATATATTTTAAAGAAAAATATCTCTAAAATTTGTAAATTTAAGAACTAATGCACCTGTTTATTTCTGTACTTTTGGTAAAAACCATCATTGCAGAAATAATACATGTTTATCAATGAAGGGCAAGTTGGACGTAAATAGTCTCGGAAAGGCTGTTTTTGATAGTATGACATTTATTAAGACAAGACCCCTATAAAATCCGCCATTTGCAATGTACTTTCGGTTTCAGATTTTAACATTGGGACAAAATGAACTGAAAAAAAACAACTTTCCAGAGGCTAACGATGTCCAACTTGCCCTTCGTTGATAAACATATATATTGTTTCTGCAATAATGACTTTCACGAAAATGAAATATATGGAAATAACAAACAGTATTCAAGATCAAAACTCCATAAAACAATACAAAATAGGAGCAGCGCAAACACAGACTTCCAAAACATCAGAGATGGGATCAGGTGCAATGAAAGATAGAGAGCATTTCCTAAACGGTAATTAATTAGGAGTATTTTTCAAAAAAAATGTCAAACCAGTATGTTATAATGGCAAATCTTTGTTTTGATCTAGGCGTTAAGACACGTGTGCAGAAAGGTGGAAGAAAATGCCGTGTTACTTCACAAATTTATGTATCTACTTGTAAAGTAAAAAGTTTCTGTCGCCCGCGTGGCGCAGTGGTCAAAGCGTCTGCTCTGGAGTCGCGAAGTAAGGAATTGATCCTTACGTCGCGGATTCGAATCCTACTGAGGGACCTCGAGCACAGTCCTTTGAATGAGATCGTTTAAACTGAGGTTCCGTGTCACAGTAGGTGCTGGCTCGAAAAAAAGATTCCTCCCTGCTCAATAGCCCCGAGTGCCGAGTACAGGACAGAATTTGCAGCTCTCCCGCGGCAAGCGATGGCGTCTCCACATGAGCGATAATTTCTCGAGAGGGACGTTAAACGACATACAAACAAATTTTCTTTAGGAAGATTTTGCCGTCCTCCGAGTTTTATGGCTTCAAATTAGTAAAACTGCTTTATTTCACTTAATAAAATTAAAATTTTCTTAAAATTTCAAAAAATGTATAGGTTGTTATATTTTCTAAGGAGTTTGACAGTGTTAAACAGAAGGGTATCTCAGTATTAAAAAGAGTTCATTTTCAGTGAACAGTATAATAAACGTAGGTAAGACTGGTAAAATACATAATTCTGATGCTTTATAGTTCCAAAGTAATTGCTATTTTATTGTCATCTCTCACGAGAGATGACACATTAAGTTTGATTTCCGGATGTGAAGTCCCAGTATAAGCTGCCATTGATCACTCGGCAATCCTCGGCTGACTCCACTACGCTACACACAAAAAGTGCGAGACCACCCGAGGATCACCGACTGGTCAGTTTGACGCGATGATGCGATTTTCTAAATATAGAGATGTAAACAACGAGCGGTCTGCCTTATTATTGATAAAGAAAACAAGCTGCGAAGAAATCATAGAGGGTCCGACACACACAATCGCCTGGATGATGGGGGTTCTTCAAAATATACACTGTATGTTCTTATGTATAGTCTTCTTGGCTATTATACTAAATGATGGCCAGAACTCGATTCTAACTAGGTCAGCGCATGTGTCAAGACCCCTGCAGCCGAGGCGTGGATCCAAGATTTCACAGAAAAACATCAAATTTAAAACATTCACATAAGTATTCGCATTACTAACTAATAGGAATTGATGGTGAAAACTTGTTTGGTAGATTAGTCATTCTATAACGCGGTGTCGTTTTTGTTTTTTAAAAATAATACAAGTCTGATTAATCAAATGTATAATTTCAGAAATTAAAAACACAAGTTATAAGCGGATATCTATTATATAAAAAAAACTACAGACATTGAATGAAAGATCACAAAGAATGATTATGAGTTTTTTCTTGCATGTCTAATTTATTCTTTTTAAGGAGGCTTATAATTAAAGAACTTGCAATCATTTTCTTTATGCAGTTTTAATTGCATTAATGGCAAAAAAGTCATCAATTCATCCCTCCTATATTATTGAAAGGAAGCCAAACTTAATTATACTACAGAATTGTTAATATGTTTAGTATGCAGATAAAGTTTACTAAATCACAAGATATATACGCACTGCACGTGAATTTGAATGGTCACTAATGGCACAATACTATATATTCCTAAAATAGCCATAAGTTCGGGGTTCGCAAATCAGGACTTTTTTCATATAATTTGTAAATGCCTGATTCAGCTGATAGCATTTAAATGTTATTACTTACTTATGCTAAAAGCATGTGGGCGTTGGGTAGGGGCCCAAAGCCACACAAAAAATGATTTAATTTTAAAATCTCGTGTATATTTTGGACGAAAAAAACCCGGTGAGCCTGGGCACCCCCGAAATCCGCCAGTGCTGTTAAAAGTTGATTTTGAATATTTAATTTTTTGATGTTTACGGGAAATCTTTTGGAAGGGTTGGAATTATTTAAGTTAGCGCTGTTGTCTGCTGTCGGAGTACCCAGGTAACACAACAACGTTATTAAAACGTTATAAAAACGTTTTCAAAATGTTATGAAAACATTTTCTAAAACGTTATTACAACGTTATTTTGTATGGTTTTTTAAACGTTATCATAACGTTTTTCAAAAACATTGTCCTGCAATGTTTTGAAAACATTTTTTAAAACGTTTTCAAAACGTTTTTAAAAACGTTTTCAGAACATTTCTTATATGTTTTAAATCGTTTAAAAATATTTTACAACATAAAAATCATTGTACTTCCTACAGTTTTAATTAGTTTAAATTTTTTACACAAATATAATCCATGAACTGTTGTAAACATCCGCACAGTCAGTAAAAGTCTTCTTAACAGAAAAGTTTTGTCACAATTGAAATTTTAAAAAAAAAAATCACAATATCCTTCTTCCTTTGAAAATCATGTTTGGCACTTTTGGCATTTGGGTCACTTGGACTTCTTTGTTTTAATTCTTCTGAAAAACAAAGATTTAGAGAAAAACTTTTATTAACAAAATGAATGATCATTCTCGCAAATCATTTTTGTAAAATACATGTATACATGTATATCCATGCATTAGAAGAATTAAAACTATATATAGTCATACATCCGATAAATACAAGGAAAGTCTTTCTTAAATTATCTATAAAAAAATAAACTTTGTTGTTGTTTTTTTGACAACAGCGTGTTTTGGGCAAAAGTTCTATAAAATATATATTGTATACTAAATAAATCTATCTCCGTAATACATTCTTGTCAGGAAACTTCAAACATACCTTAAAGAATAAATACCCTGATAAATCCCTCCAGCATGGTGTGCCTAAGCAAATTCCTCTCTCTACATGTGATCTTTAAAAAGGTACCGGTACATATTTAGTCTTTGCAAACAGCCGCTGTAAATGAAATATGATATTTATTTCCAAGAATTGTAAATTGTGAATATATACATGATACTGAATATAAATACAAATCATTTAACATTTTCAAAGAAGTATTTAACTTGTTAAGCCCCCCCCTCCACATACACACACACTTACACACACTCCCCCTCGCAAGCATACTCGATCTATTCAAATCATGTTTTGAAGCTCTCAATTTTAAAATCTATCTCTTAGCCTGGGGTTATTATACTACACATGAAATACACATTAATTAAGAAAACTCACGCTAGACACAAGTCATAAAACATTTATGTAAATGCACAATCATGATTAACTTAGATGATCAGTAATTTACTTCAAAAACAACAAATTACCCGCCCAGTTCAAATATCAGTGAAATGTTCAACCATTTACAAGGAATGATTTAGGCTTATACATACACTTACTACTATAATACAATTTCTTAATATATGTATACATATTGAATACTACTTTAAGTTCAACATACCATACGATGATGTAAAATATTACCTTAATCCTGTTCTTTGTCTTTCAGGAATGCTGCCCGGTTTTTCAAAATCTTGATAAGTTGACCTATATAGATCACGTGGAAATAGTTTGCAGCAAGTAGCGAGCGCTAACCACGGCATCCCGCTGTGCGACTCAATTAACTTTTGATAAACACATTATCAAGGAGGAAACAACACAAGTGAATAAAATGCACTGCCTTATTTTGTTGAACTACATCACATCTTAGAAAAATACATTAAAAACGGCTTTTAATACATTTTTTTCACAATGTTTTTAGGAATGTGGCATAAAACAATTAAAGAAGAACTGAATTTAAAGAAAAAATTTTTTTTGTCCACCCCCCCCCAACCCCCCAATATGCTTTAAAAGACATTACCTAGTAATCAATAACAAACAAACAAAAAAGTAAATGCTAAATCAGTAAATGTATTTTTTTAAGAATTGAATTATATAGATGTTTGTTGTTTCTATAACGTTTTAACAATGTTTTCATAACATTTTAAAACAATGTTATATTCATGTTTTCTGGTAACATTTGTACCTAGAATTAATTACAATTTTAATTCAATTTAATTTTTTTTTAATTTGAGTAAACGTGACACAATACACCACATACTGTGCAATATATTCTTAATATCATACTGTAGTTTTTAAGAATATTTTCCCCCAAACAATGGAATGTGAAAAAACTTTTTACTATGCTTTTTAAGTAAAAAATTATTCTTAATATCATTACATGTAAAAATGTTATGCAAAAATGTTTTTAAAAAACTTCCGTCCAACCAGTATCAAACGTTATGAAAAACATTTTAAAAATGTTTTTGAGAAACGTTTTCTAAAATCGTCATTATAACCTAGATAAAACGTTATAAAAATATTTTTCAAACGTTATGTCAAAAACGTTTTGGAATAACATCCTTACAACCCGAATATAATGTTATGAAAACGTTTTGTGCTACCTGGGTATAATAATACGTAATATCGCGATTACTTCGCAGTTATCTAACTTACTACCGCTCTTTTGCGGGGGAGTCGAGAAAGATCAAATCTCACGAGATTACAGGGGCACATGGACACAGACTACCAATTATTTTGCTATACATTCCTTTATACTATAAAAATTGATTAAAAAAATTACACCAGCTCAACTTACCTGAAACTTGGCACAGAGTAAGAAGAATTCAAGTCCAAAAATTTTTCAGACTCTCAGGAAAATTCATCGCATGCAGTTCCTTCTAAGGCATCGCAAATAACCCCTACCCTGCTTTTTTCACTTTCTCTTCGGGAAAAGGGTAAATATGGGCCTCTTTACACCCTCCCTACTACGCGCGCAAGTGCAAAATTTCACATATTAACAATTTTATATTTTTTTTCAAACCCTCTCCTTTCCATCTATACCCAAAAATAACATCAGTCCACCCCATAAACACCCCAAAGAATTTTTAAGAAAAAACCTCTATTTTTAAACTGGAACTACTTGAGTGGTCAATGAAATAGGGGTAAAATAAGTAGTCTGTAACCTAATAAGGACACAAACCTTGTCTGATTTTGCTGAAATTTTACATGCTGGAGTCTTTTGTATCTACAAAGTGGCCGGTGAAGTTTCATTGAAATTGATGATTCCTAAGCAGAGTTATGGCCCTTTAATTGATGTGCTGGAACACCTTAAATCAGAGGGTAAAATAAGCATTAGGCAC